CTCCACTCAGTGTCCTCCACCCCTCTCTGCCAATCCCTCCACTAGCCTCCACTCAGTGTCCTCCACCCCTCTCTGCCAATCCCTCCACTGGCTTCCCATTGCCCAACGGATAAAATTCAAAACATTAACAATAACGTATAAAGCCATTTATAACTCCACCCCAAATTACATCAATGATCTTGTCTCTAAATATCACCCAAACTGTCCTCTCCACTCCTCGCAAGACCTCCTACTCTCTAGCTCCCTTGTCTCCTCCTCCCATGCTCGTCTCCAGGACTTCTCCAGAGCTTCCCCCATCCTCTGGAACTCTCTACCCCAATTTATCAGACTATCGCCTACTCTGCTCACTTTTAGGCGATCTCTTCAGGGAAGTCTATCCTGCCCTCAGCTAATACTGGAATCTTCTACTCTTCCAACCAGTCCATCCCCCACAGTTCCAGTTGGAAGGGGTAGCTTTCTCACCCCTTCCAACTGGAATATATCTTCCCCAGACCCTTTTGTGCTCTAGGTTCTTGGCCAAGAGCAAGTACCATCTGATGAGGGTAATAGCAGTAATACCATTCTGGCCAAGGAGATTTCTAACGTCAGTAAAACTGATGCTAGAACCACCAATTTCCCAGCCCACATCACTAGAGTTATGTTTATGAGGTTAACACCTTGATTAAGTCCCTGGGAGAATACTTCAGGTGGGATAGGAAATTTAAAGGTGGATGTTATTAAACCAAGGATGTTCCCCACAGGTAATGTCTATTCTATTCCTGGCAAGAAAGACCTCTAAAAATAAAATTGTACATGAAATATGACTGAGATTTGTTTACTTTATGGACAGAATATCACAGAATTCATTACTGCCAGAGCCTTCACAAGTGTTAGAGTTTCTTAAAGTCTGCCTTGACAAAGTCCTCCAATCCAGCATGCTTAATGTTTTAAGCTTCAGATTTGTTGTCACTAACAAACATCAAGTGGGTGTCGAGTCTTCTGGCCATTTAGTTCCTGAAGGCTATGTCAAGATCAGATCCCCGAGAAAGCCATTGTTCCCAAAATGGATTTAATTGTGGTCTTCAAAGCTCTCTCAAAGTCTTCTTTTTCCCTCATACGTCTTCTATAGTGTGGAATCTCACTTTGAAGACAGTTTTGTTTGTAGATAACATAACTTCAGTGATGTTAATTCATAGAGCTACAAGCGTTTGCCCATACAGGGACCCATCTGTCATTCTACCAAAGTAGTGCTGAGGCCATCAGAACACATGGGCATTGGTCTTCCAGACCAGAAAAAAAAATATGTGATGGACTGGTGGTCCCAAGGGAAGATAATACTCCATTTTAATCTCAATTAAAGTGGGACCCCCAGTCAGTTATATATGTATATAACTGTTCCCTGTTTAGATCTGCAATCAAAGCACCTGGCTGAGGAAAGTCATCCAACATCAACTTTCTTTGCAACTCTGACAAGTTACAAGATCGCAAGCCAAGACCTGAAAAAGAAGCCAATGCTGGAAGAATGCAATACTGAACTGTGTGGTGCTCATTTGATAAAAGAAGTTGAATGCAGGGGCGGACTGACCATTTGGAAACTCGGGCAGTGCCCGGGGTCAGTAGGGGGTCCCATGAGATACCACTGGTACCATTCTCATAGGCTTTTTTGAGTTTGGGCAAGGACACAGGGGCCCCATGATCCCCTATTGCCCGGGGGCCCCATGAGTTTTCAGTCCACCCCTGGTTGAATGATAAGGTTTATTTGTGATGATGGCATGGGATATAATTTAATAATTAATTTAGATGAATTGGTATCATTTTAACAAAGCTGCCATTTTTCAGCTTAGAAAGTAGTTTATATGTTTGTATTTCATTCCTTAAAACCAAATTTTGTTTAGCATATAGAACTGCAAAAGATGAGGGTGCTGCTAGGAGCTTAGGAAGCAGAGGAACAGAGCTTTAATCTCAGACCTCCAACCCCCTTCCAGACCGGTCCCAATTTCTGGCTCGATGGTGTATTAAAAGCATAAAAAGTGTCTGACCGTTTCTATATGGTTGATGATTGGGAGAGTGAAGGAATCTTCACCTATTTGGTATTACAAAGCACAATTTAATTGCTCTGAGGTGAGAGTTCTGTGAGCACTGAGGTGACACCGCTTGTATGCTTCATAGCACTTTATTTGTTGGTGTTGGTGTATGAGCACAGGAAGAAGCTTTATATCCTCAGGGGGCCAGTGAAGTTCCAAGCTTTTCTCCTTCCAAAGTCCTCCTGCCTGGAGGTGAGCCCCTATCCCATCTGGGGCCCCACTCAGACTCCTGCCTGTTAAGAGGTACAGGGTGTAAATGTGAATGTCCCAGTCTTGTGTATAGCGTGTGTTCCTTTGTCCCTGCCATGTGGTTGCCTATTGTTCTATGCCATGTGCTACCCCCCATTGCTCTGTGTCTTGCCATGTGTTCCTGCATTGTCTACTGCCATGTGGCTATTCCTTTGTTCTAGGTCACATGGCTGTCCATTGTTTGTTTGCCATGTTCTTCATCCCATTGTTCTGTGTCTTGGGTTGGTTGGGGTGGTTCCCTGTAGCCCTTCCCACTGATAGGGTGGGCTGATGATGTATTTCCTGTTCCTGGTTGTGTTTCTCCGTCCTCTGTATATATCCTGTGTGCCCCTATCTTGCCCAGGGGGTGCAGGTCTACTCACTTAGGCCTTCTCCAGGTTTTCCGGTGGGTCAGTGGTGGCTGCTATCAATCCTTCTAGCTGGGCAGCTCCTTCCCTGCCACACAGGTGGCCCTCTCTCAGGTTGCCAGTGAAGTTCCAAGCTTTCTTCCTTCCAAAGTCCTCCTGCCTGGAGGTGAGCCCCTATCCCATCTGGGCCCCTTCTCAGGCTCCTGCTCCCCAGTCTCACATCTTCTCCATCTTCTACTCAAACTCTATTCCAACTCTTCTGTTGCTGAAAAGGCTCACTTACTCTTCAATGCTGTCCTGGCCCCTTGCCAAGCCTCCTTGTGGGGATTTGCCAGGATCCTCTAAGAGTACAGACCAGCCACTACTCACCTCCGCCCACTACTTCTAGATCTTTCTCAAAAGTCCTAGAACAAAGGGAAATTCCAGAGACCTGGTTTACGGAGCCTCTCAGCTCTGACCACAATTTGACCCTACTAGCTATCAAACCCAGGCTGCTACTCAGCCCTCCTAACTAACAATTAAAGTCTAGCTCCCCCTAGCTGACTAGGAGGTGTTACACATGCATAGTTGAGTCCCTTAGTCTTGTTTCCACATCCTATGCATGAAAACATGCATGAGATGCAGAATAATGGCAGCAGGTGATCTGAGAAATGCATCAACAATTTTTGTTGTTATGTGCTTTGGAGACCCCATAGAATGTATAAATCTTGGGATTTTTATATTTCTCTGCTAAACTGTTTTTGATTGTGCTGAATTTTTTTTGATGATTAGGGACACGTTGCTTAATGATGAAACATTGGTCTTCATATTTGTTCAAATACAGCTGTGCATATGTGAATGTACATTTCTCAATTTGAAATTAATAATATTTTTATTGTTTATTTATAATACTTATATAGCACCATCAATGTACGCAGCGCTTTACATATATTGTACATTCACATCAGTCCCTGACCCTCAAGGGGCGTACAATCTAAGGTCCCTAACCCTCAAGGGGCGTACAATCTAAGGTCCCTAACCCTCAAGGGGCGTACAATCTAAGGTCCCTAACCCTCAAGGGGCGTACAATCTAAGGTCCCTAACTCACATTCATACATACACATACTAGGGACAATTTAGACAGGAGCCAATTCACCTACCAGCATGTCTTTGGGGTGTGAGAGAAAACCGGAGTACGCAGAGGAAACCCATGCAGGCACATGGAGAACATGCAAACTCCAGGCAGGTGGTGCTGTTTCTGGGACTTGAACCAATGACTCTAGTACTGCCAGGTGGATGTTCTAAAGATTTAGCCACTGTGCTTACGAAAGCAAAGGTGTGTGACAATAAAAAACACATTCTTTTAGATAACACCCACCTTTCACCTTAGTTGCAAATCACTGCAAAACATTTTTTGTGAGACATTTTAGATCACAGGAAACATTTCCTACCATGAAAGGTGGGTTGGTTGTTTTTTTGTGTTTACCATCCATGTCAACATTTTTTAGTCTTCCCTGTCATATAAAACACTACTGCCATCTTGAGAAGTGAAGCTTGTTTTTCATTTTTTCTGAAGATTTACTAGCATTTACCCATACCAGGGACCTTCCTTGGATCCTAAAAGACCTGCGGTACAACTGGGTGCCTAAACTGAAATGTTTGGGGTTTGTCTGATACTATGGGAAAAAGTGGATAAAAAATATTTTTTTTCCTTCCGTGCCACATCCCTCTCTATCTTCTCCTTACATCTTGTGTTTCATCTGCTTCGTCTCTTTCCCTTTCTACAATTCACTCTTCTTGAATTGAGCAGTAGTGTTCTGGCCTTCACTGACACCCAAAAGGACCTTGCAACTCCACTGTTATAAGCAACACATATACTGCATATGACAGCCAGAAGGAAATGCTGCAAGCTGACATTTGGGAAGTTATAATTTTTGTTGTCTTTTTTAAATTAGATCTAAGACAAATCTTTTTCCTATTAAAAAAATTAGTCTTAAACATCCATAACTGTAATTTTCATAAATGTGATGTCATGACTAAAATGAAAAATAAATGTATTATGATTGCCATAAAAAAGAAGAAATAATAGAAAGATATAAATGAACTGATGGCCTGGGGCACACACTTATTTAGGTAAATGAGAAAAATATAATTTGCATAATAATTTGGAACACGGTGTAAAGAACCTGGGCACATGCCTTGTGTGTCAAGGTCTAGTAACTCCTATGATCATCACTGCCTACTATATATTACCTATATGTTACCTCTCTAGTACCTTTCTGCTTAAAAACTATTTGATGTAGAGCTTGTCTAATCTCATGGTTCCTCAGACTGTATATGATAGGATTCAACAATGGGTTCACTACAATGTACAACAAAGAAGTGTACTTGTGTTTACGAAAGGTAATTTCTCATTGGCTGGAATCACATAAATGGTAATTATGGACCCATAATATGTACACACAGAGATCAGGTGGGCACTACATGTAGAAAAAGCTTTTTTCCTGCCAGCGGAGGATGACATTTTGAAAATGACAGTAAAAATGTAGATGTATGTCCCAATGATAAATGCAAGAGAACACAAAAACAAAAAGGCAGAGCATGTAAAGTCTAACCATTGTGCGATAGATGTGTCTGATGTGGACAATTTCACGAGTGGACCCACATCACAAAAAAAGTAATCAATGTCTGTGAGGTCACAAAATTCAAACTGAGCTATGAAAATAATTTCAGCTGAGATAGAGTCCAAGTTAATACCCAAGAACCAAAACCCAACAGGAAGCAGATTCTGCGATCCATAATTACAATGTAATGTAAAGGGTTACAAATAGCTACATATCGGTCATAAGACATTGCAGCAAGAAGAAAACATTGCACAAATCCAAAGATATATAATAGAAATACATTTGTGTGATACAGCCAGCAACAGACATTTTCCCCTTTGTCCTTATTATTATCTCTGCCATCATTGGTATAATACAAGTGGCTAGGAGGGCATCAGCGAAAGCAAGGTGCTGGAGAAAGATGAACATTGGAATTTTGAGCTTTTTATATTGGTTGACACTAGAAGGATAATTAAAAAGTTTCCGGTCACTATTGCAATGTAAAAAAAAAGTAGGACAATGAAGATTAGAGGTTTGAAGTTGCCTAGACCTTGTACTCCAAGAAGATGGAACTCTGAGACTTTTGTTTGATTGTCTTGACACATCTTAAAAGCCAGGAGGTTGACCTGTCAGATAGGAGAGTGAAATATTTGATCAAACAGAGAGTATAAAGAGAGAATGTCAAAGCAACGAGTAAAAATAAATTGTTCACTCAATTTGCCATTAACTTAAGTTTGGAAATATTGAATTACAATCTCCTTTCTAACTGTTCAGGTCTTTTACATCATTTTGTCTTCTGGTCTCCATCGTAACCACATGCTGCTCCGGCAGGGCGGCACGTGCAGGCTCAGTCTTGTATATATTTATGTGATTGAGCCTGCTCCTGTTTAGGAGCATGTAACAAGCCTGCTGGGGCATGCAGTGCGCACCTCCTGTGACCGCTGTGTTTGCCACACACAGCGGATCACTGTTACCAGTAACCGGGTATCATGTGATCTCTATGATTGGCCAAAGCAATCACATGATAACAATGTAAACAGCCTGTCATGAATGGCTTTCCATTCATGAAGAGCTTGCTTACTGTTGGTTCACATAAAATCACATGGTACCTGGCTACCTGTACCATGTGATTAGCTTAGCCAATCACAGATCACAATATAAAGCAAGCTCTTCATGAATGGGAAACCCAATCACAGATCAAAATATAAAGCAAGCTCTTCATGAATGGGAAACCCAATCACAGATCACAATATAAAGCAAACTCTTCATGAATGGGAAACCCAATCACAGATCACAATATAAAGCAAGCTCTTCATGAATGGGAAACCCAATCACAGATCACAATAAAAGCAGCTCTTCATGAATGGGAAACCCAATCACAGATCACAATATAAAGCAAGCTCTCCATGAATGGGAAACCCAATCACAGATCACAATATAAAGCAAGCTCTCCATGAATGGGAAACCCAATCACAGATCACAATATAAAGCAAGCTCTCCATGAATGGGAAACTCAATCACAGATCACAATATAAAGCAAGCTCTCCATGAATGGGAAAACCCAATCACAGATCACAATATAAAGCAAGCTCTTCATGAATGGGAAACCCATTTATGACAGTTAAAGCTATTGCTTATACAGTGATCTTCATTGTATAAGCAAAAAAAGTGTAAAAAAAAACCCAACAGATATCTCTAATCACCCCCCAGAGTAGTACAGTGTAGTTATAATGACACTGAGCTGCTCTGACGACAGAATGTAAAAAAAAAAAAAAAAAAAATAGTAAAAATTGTACAAATTATTTTATTTTTTTTGTGTTTTTACCGTACAGTCATCAGTCAGTATACCAGATCACTGCCACACCAGTCATCTGATGATGCTGTACTGTCCTGGTGACAGCAAAACTTGTGTCTACTTTCCAAAAAAAGGGGTCATTTGGGGGATATTTGCACTGTCCTGGTGTTTTATACACAGGTGCCAAATATACAGTATATACTATAGATTGTAGATACTAGAACTTTCCTACAGACTAAGCAATAAACACTTATTTGGATTTTTTTTTTACCAAAGACATGTAGAAGAATACATTATAGTATACAATATGAGAATACAATATAGAAAATATAGATTTTTTTATCAAAATGTTTGGTCCTTTTTTATGGTTTTTTAGTATAAAAATGGCCTGGTCATTAAGGGGATAAAAATATTCCTGACCTCAAGTGGTTAATTGGTGTCCATTTCATATGGTATATTGTGTAAATTGTGATTAAACTGATTGTTTTCTACATTAATGGCTATACTCCCAGAAAATTACTATCTGCCGAAACTGTAAAATCAACTGTTGTTGAAGCTTGTTTTAGGAATGCACACATTTTCTCAAAATATGAATAAAGCTGACATTGCAAAGTCAACACGGAATAACATAAAGATTTTTTTGTTTATGATGGATGGTGGTGCCCCCTCATCTGCTTTACCTTGTTGATGATAACAGCACAGTCACCTGCACCGCTTTCTTCTCACTGGCTTAAAGTGGACACTCCTCAGAAACCACGAATCCCCCTCCAAGCACCCCAGAGCCTATACAACTGGTATAGCTGGAGATACACTGGGCCATAGTTTTTGAAAGCTGTTCAGCAACAGGTAGGATTAGAGGTGGCCGACTCAACAGGAGATTTTGCCAAAGCTTAAAATGTAAGACACAATGAGGCTCATAATCCCTCTGGTGTTCCTGCTGGAGCACACAATTGTAAGAGAGTTCCCTGCAAGGAGAATCGTGATTGGGAACGCGCAATGAGCGAAAGAGATCCCCCAAAAAAATTGACGGTTGTGCGCAGGCGCGCAGGAATGCGCGATCGCGCACATGCACGCGCACGTGATCACACACGGCGAAGATTGGCGCCAGACGGGCTATTTAAGGTGTGCCTCTGCCCAGATTCAGTGGCTGACTGGTCTTCAGCTCCCCCCGTGTCCTGCTTGCTCCTCTCCTGCCCCCTTCCTGACTTCGGCTCTGATCCTGACTTTGGCTTTTCCTCCTGATCCTGTACCGCGCATCCCGACTGTTATGACCAAGGCTATCCTACGATTCCGCTCCAGTCCTATGTCCTGGCTACAAACCTGGCTCCGCTGTGCATCTGGCAATCCACTGTACCTGCCTGGTCTATTGATACAGTACCCTAATCAGAGGATATCCTGCCTACCAAGGTCATCATCTGCAAGAGCTGCAAGACAACCTCGGGCGCTCTTGTCCACCTGGTCCCTAGACTCCCTCTGTTCCAACTTCAGCGGGGTCAGGGCTAGTGACACAAGAGAGGCCGACCTCGTCAATTCAGTCTCTCATCAGGTACGTGACACAATGCATGGTGGAATATCATTGGAGATACAGCTGCAAGGGTAGAGGAAAGCTTCCAATTGTCTCAGGTCAGCAAGATTCTTCACCTACTGCCTCCCATCTCTGTGGGCCAAAGGCAATGAGAGGCAGAACAGTAATAGGAGTAGAAAGGTTCTGCTGGTGAGAAGGGAAGGATGTGCTACTGGTGTTGAAGAGAAAGAGTGATGAGAAGAGCAGTTTCACACTTCCCAGATCTAAATGGAGAATAGCACAGATGATTTTTTCCACCAAGAAGGTGGCCTGGGTTTGCAGACTATTTTCTTTAAGAGGGGAAGCTGCTCCTTATGTGTGGCGCATCACCCACATTTCTCACAATAGAGTTTGACCTCAAAGCACCCCCTATTATCTACTGCCATTTCCAGAACATTTATTTAATCTGGTTGAAATTCCACTGCATGCTAGGCATAACTGCAAGGCAAAAATCAAAACAAGTTGGCTTTGGGTGCTTCATTTGTTTTTGTAACAAAGTTGTCCTTTGTGTGCCGCTCTTTTTTTTCAGTGGTTACACTGTTTAAGATTTTTCTTATTCAAGGAGTGAGAGGCCCACAGTCTCTAATACAAAAATGGAATAGGCAGAAAGTTGATCTTTGATAGCGCTGAGATATGAAACAATGGAGCCTCACCCACATTTCCCTCTCAATCGTATCTTTTTAAGTTACACTATTTATTTGGAACACTATTTCAAGATTACTATTTGTTTATTGCTTTAGTGCACACTGTTTTATTTTACCACATCCATTAACTTTTGGGTGTCTAGACTTGACCACTGGGGTGTAGATAGTGCTACATGTGCTTTAGGTACTAGTCTGCCCTGCAGCACGTGTCATATCAAAGAGCTTGTGCCGGAGGCCACCTTGACCATGATGTGGGGTACCTTTAGCGTGTGCACGCACTCATCAATGCCTAGAACCAGGTGGGACTGTGTCTAAAGTCAACATTATAGCAGTACCTCAATCTAGAGATGATCCATAAAGCGTGTGCAGTAGCTAAAGTTACAGAGTGCCTCTGTAAAGCGTGCTGTCCCATATTACTACACACCTTGTCTGTGAGTGGTTGCATTTAGGAGGGACACCGTGGAGCCTTTTCCCTCTCCACCATCCAGCATATCTCTGCCACCTCATTCGCATTGACAGAATGGGGTCCCGCCATGCACTAGCTCAGACTTCATGCATGCACATAATTAAACTCCTGCTGCGCTCCCTTACCGTGTGGCTAGGCCTTGGGTCTCCATAATATGGATTAAGTCCTGAACTTTTGGGAAATTGGACATTGGGGAGGGAGCCAGAGCAATAACATCCTTGCTGCTGAAGGACCTGTCACCATGCCATATACCACTCTTCATGACAGGCTGCAAAACTCCTTCACCAGTCCTTGGTTACTCTTGGTAACTGCTCTCTTTCTTTACTCCTCTTTTTAAGTTAACCCCTTCATAGTGGACTTGCCTTTTACCCAATATGTGCTTTGCAGGCCCTGTCCTTTCACATGCCAGAAACCATCATGCACCCTTTAGAGTACCTTCAAACCAAGTTTTGGAACTATTTAGAAACTTTACTTGAAAACTTCCATTATGTGATAAATACAAAACACGTTGCAGTCTAGGACATAACTACTAAAACGTGGCTACCCAGGCATACTTTAAAAGTGTCATTCCATTACTGGCATTCTCCAACAGCTGGTAGTGTCCTCCAGAGCTCCACTATCTTGTTGGACTATGTGGTGCATT